GGGTGTGGGTTTGGTAGCGAAACTTAAAACTATGGCACACACATTCCTCTATTTTGTTTGTATAGGAGGATGAAATTATACAATGAGAATGTTCTCATCAAGACACTTGTTACTATGTTCTTGCAATGAAACGTGCAGCTTTTTCTACATTGTTGCAATGGCTCTTATAAATAGCAATTTTTAAATACATGCTGTTTAAGTTTATGCTGATATCTCATCTTTATCTAAATGTTAACTTATCATTGTAGTTCCTTGTATTAAACTTGTCCTTTTAAATCTTCATCGAATTTCATCCCATTTCTATGAAAATTGTGTTTAAGGTTTAAACTCTAAACATTCTTAGCGTTCCATAACTTGGTGTATCCTTGATTGTCGTAGCTGTGATTATAACATTCTTAAGTATAAACATGTTATACTTGGAGAGGAGGGAGAGAAGTACTGAGAGACTGGATGGGGCTGGAAGGTGGTGGGCAGGGGTAGGCAGTCCGCCTCCTCTTCCTCATCCTTACACTGGTACAAGCCAGACTTGTACCGGTTCGGCAAGGACCAGTGCGGCTCTGATATCCAAAACTTCAAACCTTGTATGTAACTATGCATAATGTCCCCAGCCCAGCGAAAAGCCAGGGATGGTATAACACCACAATCCTGTAGTTTCCCTATAAAAATACGAGCCCAGAACCAGAACAAATAACATTCGAAGAATATTTATTACAAAATTCCAGTTCATAATTAATCAATCCACAGGACATATATTACATATTTCAAACCATAATCAATTCAAGCACAAGACATTCATACCTGTTCAATAGACTGATTACAGTAGATCAATCCTCCCATCTTCCTTTCCTCGTTCAAGAGAGGGGCTTCTTCTTTTCTTCTCCTCTTTCTTTCTCCTTTCTCTTCTTCTTCTTTCTTTTCTCTTCTGCCCAATTTCACCTCAACCGAAGCCCTTCTCTCGTATAAGGGAGAGGCTGTCACGCGAGAGGAGAGGCATTGGGGAAGAAAACCCTTTTTTTTTTTTACTTTTTTGCAATTTAGTCCTTATAATTTCTCTACTTTAATTTACAGTTTACAATCAAGTTCTTTGATAAAAATAGGGATATTACAGTGTGTGTGCTTTGTATTATACTTTCTGCTTGCTTGTTTTACATACAGAGATACATGGATATGGATATTGATATGCACTGATTTTAGTAATCATAATCATTCGACCCTTGTTTTCTCTGTATTTTATATAACTTTGCATATAACTGAACACTTTAACGGTTTAACCTTCACTCTTTTGGATACCATTCCCATTGTGCTGATCTATTTTTGATGTGACAGTTGACCGACTTTGGTCTTTCCAAGGTTGGTCTTATTAACAGTACAGATGATTTATCTGGTCCTGCTGTTAGTGGGACATCATTGTATGGAGAAGATGATACCCATGCGTTTGCATCTGAGCGATTGAGTCAGCAAGAACGGCGCAAGAAACGCTCTGCTGTTGGCACACCTGATTATTTAGCACCCGAAATACTTCTAGGAACTGGACATGGTTTGTATGACCTCTGCAAATATTTGGTGAAATCATATAATCTTAATTGTTTCTTGCCACTTAGTATTATAATTTCTGCAGGCGCAAGTGCAGATTGGTGGTCAGTTGGTGTCATTCTCTTTGAGCTCATTGTTGGAATTCCACCTTTCAATGCAGAACATCCGCAGGTCCTTTAAATACTAGATACTTTCTAGTCTTATGATAGCTCAGATGTGACAAGAGCAAAAGATAGAATGAGCTTAATTATAAAACATTTTAATATCATTGGTCCACAAACAAGAAATTTCATCACATGGCATCTTGAACCCTCACATGGGGGATCTCACATGCAACTGATAATTGTTATTCTGTCTAACTCATTGATCACTTTAGTCCATGTAAAATACTAGTTTCTATTCTCTTTAATCTTTCGTTGATGGTATGGTACCATTACTTTTAACTAGCAATGTTTCTCTGTATGTAGCTGAGGACTAAATATGAAATGATGATGCAGGATTCTCTTCTGCAACTTAGAAGCCTAGCATCAGATATATTTTTGTTCTTTGTTTAAGACATATCTTCTTCATTATATATATATTTTTAAATGGGAATCACCAATTTCTCTCTTTTGTTTGTTTGTGCCTGTAGAAAATTTTTGACAATATTCTGAATCAAAAAATACCTTGGCCTCAAGTACCTGGAGAGATGAGCTTTGAGGCTCAAGATCTTATTGACAAGTAAGAAATAACCTTTTTTGCACTTTTGGATGTGTTAACTGTCATTTATACCTTGTGCATTGGATGGTTGTGGCAATATTCTTTTGGTTGGATAGTAGCTCTTTTCTGGAACTGCTTAATCTTTATTTCTAATTGCCTTTTTTTTTATATGATATATTTAGGTTCTTTGCCTTGACTTAAATATGTAGCTATCTTACCTAGGGGCACACAGCTTCTTGATTTGCCTTTTCTTATCTATTTCTGTGATGCTTGTGGTCTTATTTTCTGTTTTTTGTGAATTATGTTCTGATGATTAATGATCAAGGTATTAGATCGGTTTCTACCAACAAGGTTTGCAATCCGATACAGGACAATATGAATGGAATTTACTCATCCAACAGCATACAGGTACACGGACCAAAGTGAATCAGGAAGTATGCCTAGTCCTGTACCACCTGGTACAGGATGGCATGGATGGTACGGGTCCTGTGCTAGGCAGTTTCTTTTTGTTTTATCAGTCGGCATATCGGCACTCAGTACACTGGTAACTGGCATAGTACCAATAAATGAATTTGCAAACCTTGTTTACCAGTATCATCAAGTACTTGTATTGAAATGTATATCTCGGTACCACTACAATACACATTCATTTTTATTTTTTTATTATTTTATCAAATGATATCATCCATTACAGCTCAATCTACCACTCAGGGTACTGGTACTGAACTAGTACCGTTGGTTACCCAAACCAAAACATAGATTTAAATCCTTGTTAACGATAGTAGTTTAAAAATTCTACAGTCACCATTGACAGTATGTCGTAGCAGGAACAAATTTAAAGTCATATTCTGTAACAACATAAAAATCATATTCTGCATAATGGGCACTAGTCCAAGATAAAAATGTCAAATCTCTGTTGCTTGAGGATTCAGATTTTTTTGCAGTTAGAATGGCTACAATAAAGGAGTCTCAACTCTGGCTGGTTTGATACTTTTCCATAGTTACTATGACATATCCTATCACATTACAACTCTTTGATGGCGGAATAATTTCATATTGCATCCTCCCTTTCTGGTAGTGGTATTGCCACTTGCCAAACATGTCTGCATAATGGGGAAGGAAACTGCTCAACTGCCATGCCTAATGCTCCTACTAGCCTCAAGTGTGAATTTCCTGACATTACTGGTAATATCCCATCGGATGATGCCATTATATCTAATGACAGTATATTTTTAAGATACACCGAATAAACAAAAAACAACAATCATCCACAAAACATGAATCAACACATTCTTGTGCAGTCATACCATAACGTTAGTTAGGAAGTCTCTGTACACAATGAGTGAACCATGCAATAAGTTATGCCTAAACGTACAATGTTCTACATGTAACACTAATGTAAATGCATTGCTCAACGTGCTGGGTGAAACAGCCACATCATCAAGTAATCCTTTTTTAGTTACTAGATTAATTGTTGATATATCAACTCATCAAGTTCATTGCAGTATTAAATTAGTGAAATAATTGGACTGTTTTCTTTTTTTCATAGAAATTAAAGCAAGCCTTCATTTCTATAGAACCCTAATGGCTCCTGGGCAAAATCCATCCAGATATTGCTAGTCTATTTGAACTACTCTTGCATTGTGTATGAAACACAGGTTCTGTTTTGTGTTCCAAGCTGAGTTGTGTCTGCAATCCACACATGGACAAAACTATGCTGCTATTATTTTATAGACTATATTACATTATCAAACTAGTGCAAAAATGCTGCTGCTATACTTTCTATGACAGTTTACAGCATACCTCAATTCTGTATGACCTGAACAACTTTAAAGAAAGCTGCCCAACCATGTATGTTAGATCTCTTCTAATTGGTCCTGCGTTATGTACATTGAATTTAGTATAGAGAAAAAATAGTATTCGAACTAACTTGCACCTGCAACTAAACATAGACAAGGCAGATTGTAAGGGGTTCAATCTATTATTGTTTTGTAGTTCATATCAAACATTTTATAACCGTAGTCGTCCTGTAGTACTTATTCATTTCTTGTCTTAAACATAGACAAGGCAGATCATCCTGTCTCTTTCAAAATTGAGTCGTAATGTTGATTTTCTGTGTCTTTCATTTTCTTGCAGATTATTGACTGAAGATCCTCATCTAAGACTTGGAGCACAAGGTGCACCAGAAGTGAGTTGTGTTTACGAAATTACTATAATTATGACAGCTTATATTTATCTAGTTTATGTATGCTGAATTTGATGCTCTTTATTTTTCCCTAAATCTGCTTTCCCAGGTCAAGCAACATGTGTTTTTCAAAGATATTAATTGGGACACACTTGCAAGGCAGAAGGTGATACTGATTGCCATCATCCTGTTTGACTTATCATATTCTTGAATTTACTAAGTTTGCCACTTTTGCAGGCTGCATTTGTTCCTTCATCTGATAGTGCACTTGATACCAGCTACTTCACCAGTCGTTATTCTTGGAACCCATCAGACGAACAGATATACGAAGCCAGTGAATTTGAGGATTCAAGTGATAATGGAAGCATAAGTGGAAACAGTAGTTGTATAAGCAACCACCATGATGGTGTGGTATGAATCTGTGGCTGTTTTACTTTTTTTTTAAATTAGTGGGTTCAAGAAAAAATTGATTTTCTTATTTTTGTTCACTAGTTAGTCTTTCTATAATATTTTATTCTTTTTCAAAATTTTATTTTTATTGAAGTATTCAGTAATGCCTTATGTTTCTAATAAATCTTATTTTCTTTGTTCGTAAATTGTGATAAACAGGGTGATGAATGTGGGGGTCTTGCTGAGTTTGATTCAAATACATCTGTGAATTATTCATTCAGTAACTTCTCATTCAAGGTAATTTAGCTTTATTTTGGCAAAAAATTTCTGTCACAAATAACAAAAGCAATTTTGGGATTAGTAAAGCTAGTTAGAAATAAAGTAAAGATAAGACGAAGCAATTCCTTATATTCATTATAATAAGATATTCTGAGGAGATATTCTGCAGTCATGTGGAGCAGCAGGGGCCATAGAAGAATTGGAAAATCGAAGCTGCAGAGACATATAACCTTACAATCCATTGCTAGGATACAACTTAATCACTGAAATCCTAAAAAAGATTTATGTAACAGAGAAAAGGAAGCACCACGAATGATCTGTTCCACTTGAATATAGGAGTTAATTGGTTTAGTGGAGACTGAATGGAAAGAAAAAGGTTTCTCCAGCCTTAACTATTCATAGGGCTCCAACCTACATGTCTTATGTGCATTAAGATGTGACATTTAAGGCCTCCATCTTAAGGTTTCAAGGTTTGAGCAGGGCTCTATTTGGTCTCAAATGTGTTGTATAATATTCTTCCTATCTGTTAGCAGAAGCTTTAGAAAATGTGGTTGTGCAACTTATCATATTATCATGGTATCTTAACAGGTCATGAGTTTGACTTACAAGTCCCTCATATTTTGTCCCTTTTGTTGGTCTTTCTTCCATATTTCACCATCTATGTTTCTTTGTGTTTCTTTGTACGATTCCATCTTTTGCTTGTACCATTGTTTTACACTTGGATTCACATGTCAAGGCCTATTAGTCCTTCATCTGTCTTGCACGTGAGGGGATACAATGAGCATGTCTCTAGTGTTGGATCTTTTTTCTACTAAAGCTCTGAGGAAAAATGAATCACCCGTCTTATCATTTTATCTCAATGAAAATAAAATACTGTGACAATATGACTCCTTAGGAAGATTGTATTTTCATTTGCAGAATCTTGTAAAATTGTTAGGTGTAAGGTTGGTAGTGAGATGCCACAAGCAGTTTTGTGTTAGGTTGGCAATATATTCGTATGCCCTTCTGACAGTATGGAACATCTTGTTACTTTGCAGGATGTTGCATGCAAGCTAGCGATGATTAACATGATTGGCACATCTATTCTACAAAAAATATAATGATTTTGTACTTTTGAATTTGCTTTGTTAGTTGCACAGCTTTTGATCTTTGCTGGGTATGATCAAAGATGAATGCTTTAGCTCGTTGTGCACCTAGGATCATCACAGATCCTTTCCTCATTCATTATTTTCACAGACATTGCCCTCCAGCCTAGCTCTGGCTATGACACTGCAACCAAGTATGAGATTGGTATTGCATGGATTGACAACTTGCTAAATAGTCCCGAAGCTTGCAATGGATTAATGACTGGAACGGGAAAAGAAGAGTATTTCAGTGCAATATTTCTACCCTTCTTTCGTCTTTTCTATAACAGAGTTTGTTTTTATTTGAATTCGGATTTTAGAAAAGAAATCATTTTGAATTTAGGTCTCAGGGTGAGTTTTGACATTATATATTAATCCTTCATAGACCCCACATTGCAGGAACCTTGTGCACTGAAGGTTTAATAGGTATATGAGCCTAATTTTGGATTTCCTTCCACAATGTTTTTGTTTACTGTGATTTGTTTATTTTTTTTCTGGACTGGATATTTGTTTCCTTGGGCTTTCTAAGGATATCCACATGATTCCAAGTTACAGCTGGGTTTACTGGATTTCTTCCAGTTCAGTATTTGATTTTGAAGTAAAAAAATCATTCCAAATTTAGCTCTGGGTTGGACCAGAGTAAAGCAGATTTGAACTTGTCAAATTTTGTCTGATTCAGACCCAATCCGGACCTTATTTTTGTGGCCCTTATCCCTATGCTCACAAATAGCCACCCACCTGCCTATAGCTCAGTCATTAGACATGATGACAAATATATCTTAGGAATTACATCAACCTAGGGCATATTTGTTTTTCTGTACTAGGCTTCTAAGTAGTTGTGTATCTTCCTGCTTGATATTTTTCATATGCTTCAGCTGAAGAAACATGTTAGTTTGCCAAATTCCATCTGAAGTAAAAAGGTTTAATTAAGAAAACATCTATTGGAAGTGTTTCTCAATAATCAAGCTAATTGTAGAAAACATGTGTTTGCTATTGTACAGCATTTGCTGCAAGATTATTCTTTAAATGAGTAGCCATTGAAGTGTCGTACAATAGTCAAGCTCTTCAAGTGTGAAAATTTTCTATCACGGTGAACAAATGAGTTACATTTTTATACAAGTTGTGCTGCAAAATTCTCCTATATTTAGCTACAAGTTCACAGGGTCCAAATTGAGAGTTGTAGCAATTGCCAAGGTGTTTGTTTTGAGAAATCAAGAGGGTCAATGATGTGGCAGCTGAAACCATTTTCGTTAGGTAATCAGTATAATCTCTTTGGAAACAGTGGGATGATTGCAGCCACATTCTCTTGGTAGTCAAACTTACGTTCATCTGTTGGTTTAGACTTTTGTTGGGGAAAAAAGACTTAGGACATATGTGTAGAATTGGTATATGAGTGCATAGTTTTAGCTGCTTTATTAGTTGAGCACTTTCATAAACCTACTTTGCTGCTTGTAATTCATTCGGTGCAGAGATTCGATGCTGTCTTAGTGAGGATAACAAAATAAGCTTGAAATTGCATGCATTTTTTAAATAAGAGCCATTTTTATATTTAGATATAGTTTCGTTTTACTTGCTTTGCAAATTCTGCCAACTTTATTCTGAACTTTTGTATTTGGTGATTAGAATCTATCGCAGCTTGCATTAATCAACTATGATTTGCTTAGCAAGGGCGGGAAGGAGGATCTGCAGGAGAAGTCTGAAACTTAATTTGCATTCCTTTTATAAGTTTTTCATTTGAACAGATTCTTCAAGAACTTCATGTTTCATGTACATCTTGTAAATGTAAGTTAAAAACTTTGTGAAAATTTGATCTTCTCTTATTGCTGCTTATTGACCTGTTTCCTTTCATTTGTGCTTTCACAGAGATACAAGCTAAAGGCAACTCCAGGGTGGTGCTTTTTGTCATGTAGGCCACTGCTCCATGGCTGCCTACAATATATATATATATATGTTTGGAGTAATAAGTCATTTTTGTGGTTCATTCTCCATGAGATGGCTTTACCCATGGGAATGGCCTTGGTTTGAAACAACCATGCAAAAAGGGACATTGCTAAATATTCCCCTTGACTGGTAATATGCCCTGTGCAACTAGCTTAGATAATGGTCTATGTTTCGCATAGCCTTTTTTACTGGTGAAACATGGATAATTTGCCTGATACTTGAAGAGGGAAGGAGCTGTTTGTACAAGTACTTAAGAGCAAGGTGTGAGGACTGATCCTAAGATAACACTTGGGAATGGATCTCATGTCCTTCCACTCACAACTTTGTAACTAGTCGAGATTATGATCCTTGTGGCCTATCATGGTTATTCTCTGTGGACACGTGTGCCGGTTCGTATTTGTCAGTACATTCATGTGAGTGATTTGCTTTTATAGGTTTGTCTGAACCACTAACATGCTGTGTGCAGGTGCTGTGTGATGCTTATGCACAATCTTTTGTTGTGCGCTTGATGGATTAGTGAGCATGTTTGTAGGAGCGCATGTTTTTTTGGGAGGTACATGTATGATTACTTTACCCTATTCAAATTACAATCTTTTTTCCATTGTCACACCAACTCAGATTTCTCCTCTCTCCATTTTGATGTCGAGGCAAATAATTTATCTTCTAATGTCTGGGGGATGTTTGTATGTATAATTGTTTGATATTCTAGTGAGAATTTTATACTTGTGGAGTATTTTTCAAATAGGTGAAATATGTTTTCTCCAGATTTGATGAATTTATATAGTTAGATCAATCATGTGTAAATGTATTGTAGAATATTTCCTCATTTTTTATTAGCTAAGCATCAAATTTGAGTATCCACCACATTAGATTATCAAATGCTCAAAGATTTTATATTTTCATGATTTGATGGAGCTAACGGGTAGGTTTGAGATGGCGAAACGTTTTATGGTGGTGTCAAAGAAGGGTTATTGGCAAGGAGAATTGCATGTTATGTTCTCCCGAGATTCAAAATATGACGATATTATGGCTCTCTACAGCCAAAATGCTCACAACATAAAGATTTGTTGGTGCATCAAGGGATGTATAGGAAAGATGTCGAGAACAAAGTAACCCTTAACCGGTGGTGTTGATAAGATTTGAGTTTTAGATCCCTCGATTAGGGGGGTAGGTGTTGTCGGTAAGATTGTACATATCTGTGTAGAGTATCCAAATAGAGTAACGAGGTGTATCTAAGTTGTGTGTAATCAAGTTCAAATCTCAAAGAGTAATAAGCACCCATTTATTTTAATTTTTAAATAAAAAAAGTTTATAAAAATCAAGTCCTGGAGTCCAATGTCTGCACTCGAACGTCATCCCTCACTTGAGTTTCGATAAGATAACTAACTAGAGCTCCTGTGCACCGGAAGCCTCCCCTCCTCTGCAAGCTCCAGAGCATGTCGGATCATGAGCGTCAAATCTTCGCACGACTGGCCTCCTTCCATTGCCTTCTTCGCCTTCTCCCCCAGCTCCTTGGCCCTCTTCCTCCTCTCTTCTCCTTCCGCTCCTCCATCCAGCAGCTCCGAGACCGCCTTCTCCACTTCCTCCCGAGTGATCAGACCTTCGGAATCACCGGTAATACGAGGAATGGACATGTTGATCTTGAGCGCCACGCCGATCCGCAGAACTTCCACCACCAGCTTCTCGTTGAGGAACTGGTCGGCGAAGTGCGGCCATGTTATCATCGGCACTCCGACCGACACCGCCTCCAGCGTCGAGTTCCAACCGCAGTGCGTCATGAATCCTCCCACGGAGGGGTGTGACAGGATCAGCATCTGCGGCGCCCACCCCTTCAGAATCAGGCCCCTCCAGCTCGTTCTCTCTTCGAACCCCTCCGATAGCCAGCTCGCCACCTCCGGCGACATCTCTTTCTCCTTGATCACCCAGATGAATGGCCTCTTCGACGCCTCCAGGCCGAGTCCTATCTCGATCAGATGAGAAGAGCTGTGGCTCGCGATGCTTCCGAAGCTAACGTAGATGACGGACCCCGTCTCCTTGGCGTCCAGCCAGTTCCTAATCTGGTTCTCGTCGACGTTCGTATTGTTCCCTCTCGCAACCTCGTCACCGGTCTCGTTGTTGGAGAGGCAGACCGGTCCTATTGCCCAAACCTTCTTCTCGAGCGCCTTCTGGTAGCTATCGATGTAGGCGGCCTCCAGTTCGCGGAAGCTGTTTATCACCAACCCATCGGCGCTGGCTTCAGCCTCCGCCGCCTCGTCGCGAAGCTTCTCCCATCCTGGATAGTCGAAGAACTTCAAAGATTGGGCTCTCACCACCTCCAGCTTGTGAGGAAAGCCGGGCACGAGGAAGGGCTCGAATGCATCGGCTAAATGGCCACCGGACTTGTGCTTGCTCACGTTATGAGTGCACAAGAGGAAGAAGCAGGAGGGCCCGTGGAATACCAAGCGAGGCACGCGCAGCTCGCGAGCGACCTCACTCGTCCACGGACAACATGCGTCGGAGATGATGCAGCTTGGCTTCGAGCACTGCTGACGGAGGTAGACCAACAAAGGCTCTCGCAGCATGTTCAACCCCGCAAAGAAGTTTCTGGCGAGCTCCTCTGACGGGAGGAGGTCGACGTTCTCGCAGCCCTCCGACAACCCAACTTCGGCACAGGGGAACCGAAGCTCCGCAAATCGAATCAGCAGGCCGGCCGCGTTTGCACGATCGATCATGGCCTTGAACCGGGCGGTGTTGCGGGGGGTGGTCACGACGCTGACGACCATCCCGCGGAGCGCGAGAAGACGAGCCAGGTCGATCATGGGGATCATGTGGCCTTGGGCAAAGAGAGGAACCAAGACGAAGTGGGGTTTCCGGGTGCCGTAGCTCATCGCCGCTTGGTTGGGTATTCCGAGCAGCGAGAAGTAGAGACACCGCTTGCGGCAGTCCGCTGCGCTGAGCTTGGAACTCGCACAGTGGATAAGAAGAGGTGAGATTGCAGTGGAATTTGACCAAAATAAAACCAAATTGCAAGGTATTTATGATATGCTTACAAGCATTGTTTGTCTTTTCCTGAGGAAGTCAACAACATCAACACAATGCATCCGAAATTTCTGCGCTCATCAATGACGAAAACGATGTCCGATGCGATGTGTCCACACACTGGACACCACAGGGCTCGAAACAAACAACTCCGCAAATGCTACAAATCTCAATTTGGAGACACTGAAGATATAGAATTTTGCAGCAGAACTTGGTACAATAATGGAACGAGTCAAAGCACATTGAACAAGGAAAACATTTGTGTGGTTTTGGCGTAAGAATGCTGCAAGGGATGCTTTGTTCAAATGTTCAAAGCACATTATGACAAGCAAATTACCTATAGTTCTAAGACCTACAGATGGAAGGAGATAATCTCACACAGTTGACACTGATCTAACTAGTTAATCATCCTGAGAATAAAAGTTGAGATATGAGAAGGGAGGGACGAAGGACATACCACAAATTCCAATTTGCGCCATCAGGAACTCCCAGAATACTAAGGAAATACATGTATATGACAAAAACCTAGGGAAAAGGTTTGCCCAAGATTGGCTGCCTTGATAATTAGATTGGCCAATCAAAAAATGCCCCTTCATCCTCTTTGTGGTAAAGCATGTACCAGGATAGTGAATTAAGAAAGAAGAGCCTTTCCATTATCCGAGGTATCCACAATAACCTGCCGTTTTGAAGGAAGAACACATTCACACAAGTCTGACACATCTTAACATCCATACACCCAGTTGCAGTACGTTCTGGGTTCATGTTATCATCATCAGCCGGTTGGGAAGGCAACCGATCATCTCTAGATGCAGCTTTGATGGTATGCGAGTCTTTAGTATGTATTACAAGGTTCCCTGTTTGATGATCATTGATCGAAACTAGATGTCTCTCTTGCTCATCTATAGCATGTTTCTCTCTATCATCTCTGCTACAACCCATCTGAGAGGTGGTGGCATGATAGAAAGCCTCAGTTTGTGCATGTTGATCCATAATAATACCAGTCAGAAGTTTTGGCTTTTTCCTCCTCTCTGACCTTTTATTTACCAGAAGTTTTGAGTCATCTTCAGCTTCCTCATCTTCTTCGAATAAGCTCAACCATTCAATTACAACTGTGCATTTGTTGTCACATCTTGCCACCTTTATTCTTTGAGTGAGTAGAAACATGCTTCTCGGAAGCATGCTTTTTTGTTCATTTCCGACCTCCTGCTGCCACAGTGCACTGCTTTTCTGGGTTACTTTTCTACCACTGCACTGCTTGTTATGGCAGAAACCTGAAGTAACTAACTGTCAAGAAAATAAAGTTGCTGATGTAATAAGAAGTATCAGTATCTATATAAGAGCAACCTAGCAAAAGGTATTATTGTCACTTTGTGTTTCTATAAGGTATCAATCCGTTGACTACAAAATTTGAAGATATATTAAGCCGGTAACAGAGTCCCTGACAGTTAACTGCAAACATGAGGTAGCCAATCACAGATTCCTGATCCTGCTTTTATATTCAACTTTTTGCCTAAAACTACAATCATTAAGACATCATAAGTAATTCTAGCCATGTCATAATTGTGGCTTTAAGGAAAGGCGCGTCCTGATTACTTCTGAATTTCCCTCTCCTTTCACCAAAAGATATGTTTCT